GAGAATTTACTAAGGTGGAACAAGCGTAGAATGTAAGTACCATGTAAGTGACTCCCAGGCAAGTGTATTCCAGCCATGAGTGGGCCGGAGCCCAGGGGCGCAGTCCGGCAAGTAGATCACCGTGTCCGGGAGTGACTGAGCGTAATCAACTTCCCCCGCATCTTGTGCGCTGGTCTCACCTTGAAAGTGATTGGCTAGTGAGGCCAGACAAGTCTCGACCATGAGTGGAGGCTTTGGCTGTCGTGTCTTCCGTCCGCGTGGTGTTTACGCCAGATATGGCTTGTGCCCGCGGCGTCCGAAGAAAGCATGAGTAAGAATAAGGGGTTGCTACAATCTTTTCGACGACGGCCATCTTCCAAATTCCGTGTGGGACCCCCTTGTCGACGATAAGAAATAAATCGCCGATTGTAAGTTGCGGAGCACCGCTAGTTGGAACTTGTTTGACCTGCAAAGAGGGTGGACAATCGGTGATCCATTTTCTTCAGAACAAATCGGAAAGGTGTTGAGCCTGGGACCATCTTAAGTTGAGTTTAGAAGGAGCACATTCTTCCATCGACGAGGAAAGTGCATTGTGTTCAGCAAACAATGTTGCGGATGGAGCACAGTATAATCGAGCGTGCACATTTGTTAGCTATAAGAAATAATAGATAAAGCATATCGCAAAATATGACACATTCGCGAAAAACAAATTAAAATGATTGCAGAATGTTTTCAACATTATTTACAAAAAATACCTGGGGTTAAAAATAGCGGACACGTGGCGGATGATAAGCCAGAAAAAGCCATTCCAGTCTCCCGTATTTGCAGGTAATCTTTTTCTTTCTATCCTGCTAGAGGCAGTGAGGCTGCACGTAGGGTTGAATTGCGAGCCCCAAAGCATAACGGGAAGATCGAATCCCACAAGTGAGGTGTGAGCAACCCTCTATTAGTGTTTCTTACATGATCAGCATAGAATACAGTTCTCATTCTGTGATAGTTCTCAGTGTTCTGGGACATTGGAACGCCATAAAACCATCATCACCAGTCGCGTATTACAGAATTATGGGATTTGATTTCCACGGTGTTATGCACAATAAACTGCTTCCGACAGTTCTCATTTTACGGTCATATTTTGGTCATATCGGACCTCTTCTGGAAACATTTTAGTTCGGTGTATGTCCAATACTTTTCCAGTTGTGACAACACTTGCAAACAGTTTACGTTGCTCGGACATTGGTTGTGCGTTATTTGGTTTAAAGTTCAAAGGCCAGAGGCAAACGACAGTTTCTTACTTCAAAAAGAATGACTTGTGGGCACGCAACCTAAAAAATATAACATGGCTTATTTTACCGAGCATTTCTTCCTTTTAGACAGGTTATACGTGCATGACTATGAGCAAGCAGGACCAACATGAAAATGCCTTCGAATCCATGGTTTTCATTGGCGCCGGCATGATGAGAACTGGTACGCGTAGTCTACAGGCTGCGTTAGAGAAACTCTACGATGGACCCTGTTATCATACCTTTGATTCGATGCTGCATACGCCACAGGATCTCCAATTTTGGGTAGAAAGCCTTGAGGACATGGAGCGTGGTGTTTCGCAGACTGATCCGGCGTACTGGGATCGCCTGTTGCATGGCTATCAAGGAACAACGGATTTTCCCGGATCTGTCTTCTTTAAGGAGCTAATGCAAGCTTACCCCAAGGCTAAGGTATGTAGCATTTAGGTAAACTGAACTTATCACTTACATGTACTTGATTTGGCTGTGATGATACATGATCTAGCCGGTCTCAATGGAGGGTACCACTCCACGCGTAAACTTGAGCAGCCGTGGATCTCGAAACCTCTATCTATTCTATTCTCCAGCGACGGAGATCAAAAACAGAGGGTTAAAGAAACGCTTTCATGTCAGATCGAAATATTTCGAGTCAAATCTAGACTTGGCCTTCTCCTTGACGTCTGCTTTACGACGACGGATAACATGCCCTAACTACCTCAGTCCTCTTTTTTGGATAACCTGAGATATTTTTTCAGTAATGGCGTATCGATTGCGGACTGTCTAGATAAATAAGTCCTTGCGTGAATCATTCAGAAGTCCCATATGTTTTTGGAGCAATCATGTCTAGTCTATAGGCTAGGTGAACTAGCAACCTTACTGCATTTGATTCTGCTTCTTATAGCAAAAGGCGGTACGAATATAACAGTACTGTCATATTATGCTTGGTGCGGATGGACCTGAACAAGTGAGACTTGCATCAGTCATTGTAAAGTGAAAGCTGTATTACAGGGTCCTAAAAACATGGCCTCGACTTCAAACAGACCTTGTAGCGGGACAAATATCCTCTTTTCACAGTCTGTGAGCTCAACCCAAACGCACCAGTAGTCCGATTTAAGATCGAAAGCAGAATAGCAGCAAATGACTCTAAAATATACTCGATGTATGGTAGATGGAAAGAATCACATGCCGTTACAAAGTCAAAACGCCGGTAATCGATGCAGAAGCGTGAATTATCACTCTTTTTGGGTATCCGTGTGACGGCGAACCCACTGAAAATTTAACAGCCTGATAATTTCTGTGACTAGCATAGTATCCAATAAGTCATGTACTTCACCCTGCTATTGGACCAGGATCCGACGTGGTGGTTACCAAATACCCTTGCCTATTTCGATGCCGTAGTGCTTGCGAAACATCCAGCCGGGGGGAATACTCTTCCCAAACAAAAGTTTTTTGCAAATAGAGTAGAAAACCACTTAGAACTGGATGATCAGGTTCGGTTTGTGTCCAATATGATATAATATCGTCGTGAGTAATATTTGCACTGACGCCTGGATGGCTGCACATATCGCTGTTTCATTAAATGCCCGCGCCGGAAACAAAGGTTTAACCTCTATTGAATGTTTGACTATTAAGCGTCAATTTAATAGCATTTTTGTACTGTCCGACATATAGTTCAGACTTATTACTTCGCAGAACCAGGCACATATTTTTGTGAGAACTGTGTTTAAATCGCAAACGAAGCGAGAAGTAATGCCGTGGAAAAACTACCGGTTTCAATTTTCTATGAAACATGTTATGACACACTGTGCAGCAAACAACCAGCCATAAACAAAATGATTAAAGTCAAACTGCCATTCATTGACTCACTTTCAGGTTATCCTGACAACACGGGACCCCGACGCATGGGTCACAAGCATGAGGGCAACAGTATTCCCTCTGGACTTCTACAGAAACCATGGCGTCTGTCTAAATTTCGTTATGTGGCTCAAAGGCATCACCGGAATCTTGGAGATTGTGGACAAGGGCCTACGTCTTTCGTTAAGACGCAACAGAGACGAACTGATGGATGATACTCAGCTACGGCAGGCATTCCTCGAGTGGACAGAGTACGTTAAAACGACTGTACCACCCGAACGCCTGCTTGTATTCAGTGCCCAGGAGGGCTGGACGCCATTGTGTCGTTTCCTCAACAGACCAATTCCAGACTGCACGTTCCCACACATTAATTCTAGAAAGGAGATGAAATCGTACATGGGGTTTGATAGACCGCTGATCTTCGCTTTCAAGTTTGTTCTCCCTGCTGCTCTCTGCGCCTGGTTAGGTTACGTGGCAGCACGACGGATCACCGGACAGAGTTCCCTGAGCCAGATGATGTCCCTTCTAAAAACATCCATCTTGGGGCTGTACTAGCTGAATTCCTTCAAGCTTCCATTTTTCAGTAATGACTACAAATTCTTGAAAAGCGCAAGCTTTATAGACAGCAAGAACAATGTTTCCTTGCTACCGAAGGATACGCAGCGATTTTTGAAGCCTTAGGCGAATAGAATTTTTATCTCAGCGATTACGTTTACTTCTTCCCAATTACATCCTGGGCGTCACGTGTTTGCTTGAATGGGCTCATTCAAAGAGCTTACATGCTTGGTTTTGCAGTGCTAGTAAGCATGGGGAATGATCTCAATTATAAATATAACAGTTATATTCTGTCATTACTGTTAAACATACCCAGTCGCTTGAAGTTAATTGAGTTTTCAACAAGCACTACTAAGCAGTTTAATATTTGAGGGTTGCAAAAATTCCCATTACAACAATCCGAAGAGCAATTAGCGAGCATACTTGTATTTTCAATAAATTCTCATCAGGCCGTTACATTTATATGGAAGGGGGTACAGTGCAAAAGGTAAAATTGTGGGTAAATTAAGTTCAACGTTACAGACAAAATAGTCCAGTGAATAGGGCAGTGCGTTGGGGTTAGCAAGAAGCGGCTAATTAAGCGGTAATTAGGAAGAGGGGAGAAAGGGAGAGAGGAGGCACATCGGAAATGATCTCAAATATAAATATAAACAGTCATATCCTGAGAGTACGGTTAAGCATACCCATTCGATTCAAGTTAATTGAGTTTACAACAAGCACTACTAAGTAGTCTAATTTTTCCGAGGATTAATTTAACATCTACACACCTTCAGACTGGCTCTGTTAAGTTGTCTGCCAAAAATACTTCTTCTGTTCAACTGACAAATAGTACATATAGGTTTGTTGGAAAAAACCCTCGTATTGTAGCTTTGCAAAGGATCCTTCGTTCATAAACATATACAATGATGAAATAAGGCATATGATTGTCCTAGCGAGATGTCTGTAACTTTATGGAATTTTTAGTGTGAGAAAACCATTTGAAGTAATAATCTCATGACTTAGCAAATGGAAGTCTTCAGCGACTGAACACTTCGTCATATTTAATCTCAAAGCTGCACATCGCCAAATACTATTTTCGGGATTTCGGGATTTCGGACCAGCTAGCACTCTGGTGGACATTCGTTATTAGCTGGTGGATTCATTTTCACAACATCCCCAGCCTCAGAAGCCACGGCAGGCACTGTCAAAGTGAGCAACATCTCCGTGACCGTTCTTCCGTCAACAATTCTCAGGGATTCCAGCTATCTACAAACGGCTGAGTCG